GATATCCGCTCAAGGATATCCGCGCGAGGATATCCGCTGCAAGGATATCCGCTGCGAGGATATCCGCTGCAAGGATATCCGCGCGAGGATATCCGCTCGAGGATATCCGCTCGAGGATATCCGCGCAAGGATATCCGCGCGAGGATATCCGCTGCGAGGATATTCGCTCGAGGTTATCCTCTCGAGGATATCCGCTCGAGGATATCCGCTCGAGGATATCCGCTCGAGGATATCCGCTCGAGGATATCCGCTCGAGGATATCCGCGCGAGGATATCCGCGCGAGGATATCCGCTGCAAGGATATCCGCTCGAGGATATCCGCACCTGCAGCACCTCCACCACCAGCAGCTCCAGCACCTCCAACACCAGCAGCTCCAGCACCTCCAGCTCTAGCAGCTCCAGTGCCTCCACCACCAGCAGCTCCAGCACCAGCAGCACCTCTAGCACTAGCAACACCTCTAGCACCAGCAGCTCCAGCACCTCCAGCACCAGCACCTCCAGCACCTCCTGCATCAGCACCTCCAGCACCTCCAGCACCAGCAGCTCCAGAAGCTCCAGCACCAGCAGCTCTAGCACCTCCAGCACCAGCATCCCCAGCACCTCCAGCACATGTAGAACCTCCAGCTCTAGCAGCTCCAGTGCCTCCAGCACCAGCAGCTCCAGCACCTCTAGCACCTCTAGCACCAGCAGCACCTCCAGCACTAGCAGCCCCAGTACCTCTAGCACAAGTAGCAGCTCCAGTACCTCCAGGACTAGCAGCTCGAGTACCTCCAGCACCAGCAACACCTCTAGTACCTCCAGCACCTCCAGCAGTACTTCCACGACTAGTTGCTCCAGCACTAGCAGGACCGTACCCTTCACCACCAGGACTGCCTCGCCGAACGATCCATGCACGAATTGCCTGCGGCAAGAGCATCTCAAGTAGATCAGGCTGCGGTGGCTGTCCAGCTCCAGGACCTCCAATAGGGTCACTCACAGTTCCACCGCCACTAGGAATCGCAGCACCCCCAGTCGCAGCACACCTAGAACCAGCACCCCTAGTAGCAGCACCCCTAGAACCCTCACTCTCTGTCTCAGCTCCCCCAGGCTCAGCACCAGGAGTCTCAGCTCCAGAGTCCACAGCAGCAGGCTGTGAAGGCGGCGAAGATGGCCGAGGTGTAAAACCAGGGGGGGTCTCTATGCGTGGAGAGCGGCGAGTGGTCGTCGTGTCGTCAGCGGCAGGGTCACCCCCCTCAGCTGGGCCAGAGGATTCAAAAGAGATCTCCAAAGGCTCAACCAAGGGGGGTGGGTCTATCTGAGACACACCTGAGGGAGCAGGACCCTGTGAGGGGGGGGGGGGGGGGGGGAACTGATACCAGGAAGAGAGGTGCGAGGGGGACCGGGTGGGACGCGTGCAGGTGTAGTCTGTAGAAACAGAACGACTCGTCAAAGGTGACGTCCTAGGAGGAGAACACGCGACGGTCGCGCGGGTAGTAGAACTGCCACAGCGGGGCGTCAGTGGGGAAACCAAGGAAGACGCAACGAAGAGTGCGAGAGGAGAGCTTGCTTGCTTTGGCATCCCGAACAAGGGGGAGCGCGCCCCAGACCCGAAACACCGACGCATCGCCAACCTTCCCCGTCCACCAGAGTGTGGGCGAGGTCTCTGGCTCAGAGACACGGGGCCAGAGGTTGAGCTGATGCGCAACGTATCGGACCGCAAACGACCACAGAAAATGGGGAGCAGCCGCATGGATCATGGAGGTACGAGCAACCTCCATGATCAAGCCAATGCGACGCTCAGCAATCCCATTCTGCTTAGGAGAGGCCGGAAGCGTGAACGTCTGGCGGATGCCCTCGTCTCGACAGAACTCCTCAAGGAGGCCAGAAGAGAACTCACCGCCTCTGTCAGAGTGCAGACGCAGGACTGGCAAGTCCCAACGAAACCGCTCGCGCAGCTGGCGACGAGTAGCACGGATCCAGGGGATCAAAACACCGCTGACTTCCGCCTTGCGTCGCAAGGGGAAGACAGTGGTGTAGCGTGTGTAGTTGTTAACAACCAGCAGGAAGTAGCGCTCCTGGTCCGTTCCAACGACGGGGGCCGGGCCCCACACGTCCATGTGGAGGGTCTGCAGAGGAGCAGTGGTCGGAGGAAACACTGAGGAGTGAGGAGCGGCGCGCTGCCGCCCCTCGACGCAGGGAAGGCACGGCGGTGCAGGGAAAATGGAGAGGGAGGGCAGGGACCTGGGAAGGCCAGAGACAATGAGACGGGGGTGCATGCTGCGGAGACGCGGCAGTGAGGGGTGACCAAGGCGGTGGTGCCAGAGGAGAGTCTGGTGGGAGAGTACTCGACACGAGCAAGACGCTGCAAGCTGACCAGATGTTGACACCCGACTCGACGCGGCCACCTGACTTGACAGACGCAGTGGTCAGTGTGTACAGCCTAGACCTAGGCCGTCGAGTGAACGTAGCTAGGTGACGGCCAGTCCGGGAGCACGTACAAATCGCCACATGCTGCCCTCCAGGAATAAAGGAATCAACTCAGACATCCTGAATGGCAGCATTGCTCAACAAGTTCGTCAAGAACGTGGGGAGGTGGAGACCTGACAGAGAACCGGAGGGGACTGTCGGACACGGGAGGACAGTGGAGGCTCGCGCAACTACTGGGCCCCCAGTGGGGTCAGCCAGTGAGACTGGGACAGTTGCTGCGAGTGGTGTGACTGTGGTGCAAACACGAAAGAAACAACGTGACGCGCCTGAGTTTAGCGTGAAAGTGTGCAAGGCTTCAGCTGAGGCAGGGAGTGTGGCAGCAGACGCACTAGCACCTAGAGCGTCGGCAGACTCACGGGCACCTAGAACTGGAGCAGACTCACCAGCACCTGGAGCGGAAGCAGACTCACTAGAACCGAGAGCAGCAACATCTACACAACCAGGGACGCATCGCTGAGAAGCACAGTCGCGAGGTCGCTAAGGCCACATAAAACCAAAACCTCCACCACTAGGACGGAATCGCTGAAAAACCCAGTCACGAAGCTGCTGAGGGGTGGGGTCATCCGGGAGAGGCAGGGATCGCTGCCGTCCACCCCTAGCCGCTGCAACTGCCGCGATAGTGGCCATGACACGCAGTGACGGACAGTAGTAGGTCCAGCACCTCCAGCACTCCCAGCACCACCTCCACCAGCAGCAGCAGTAGCACGAGCAGCAGCAGTAGCAGTACCGGCAACAGGGCAGCTCGGTGGGGCTGGGCGGCGGCACCTTTAGCACTCCCAGCAGCATCTCCACTAGTAGTAGCAGTAGAACGAGTAGCAGCAGGGCGGCTCGGGTTGGGCAGGTCGGCTCGGGCTGGGCGGCGCGGCTCGGCCAGGGCGGCGCGGGCAGCAGGGCGCGCGCTGTGCAGGGCAGCAGGGCGCGACGCGCGGGCTGCAGCAGGGCGCGACGCGCGGGGCAGCAAGGCACGACGCGCTGGCTGTAGCAGGGCGCGACGTGCGGGCTGCAGTAGGGCGCGACGAGCGGAGCAGCAGAGCGCGACGCGCGGAGCAGCAGAGCGCGACGCGTGGAGCAGCAGAGCGCGACGCGCGGAGCAACAGAGCGCGACGCGCGGGCTGCAGCAGGGCGCGATGCGCAGGGCAGCAGGGCGCGACATGCGGGCTGCAGCAAGGCGCGATGCGCAGGCTACAGCAGAGCGCGACGCGCGGGCTGCAGCAGGGCGCGACGCGCAGGGTAGGGGCTGCTCACGGGCTGCAGGGGCGCTCGGGGCAGGGGCTGCTCACGGGCAGCAGAGGCGCTTGGGGCAGGGGCTGCTCGCAGGCAGCAATGGCGCTCGAGGCAGGGGCTGCTCGCGGGCAGCAGTGGCGCTCGAGGCAGGGGCTGCTCGCGGGCAGCAGTGGTGCTCGAGACAGGGGCTGCTCGCGGGCAGCAGTGGCGCTCGAGGCAGGGGCTGCTTGCGGGCAGCAGTGGCGCTCGAGGCAGGGGCTGCTCGCGAGCAGCAGTGGCGCTCGAGACAGGGGCTGCTCGCGGGCAGCAGTGGCGCTCGAGGCAGGGGCTGCTCGCGGGAAGCAATGGCGCGCGGGGCAGAGGCTGCACGCGAGCAGCAGGGGTGCGCGTGACAGCAAGGTAGCGCGCTAGGGCAGGCAGTGCAGCGTGACACTGTGCGAGAGGGCCGAACAGCGCAAGGGCGCTTCGGGCAGGAACTAGCGGAACGATCGGTGGGCCCTAAGAACCTAACAGGTTTCCTGCTCTAAATACTATGTCAGAATCACTGTGCAGGAATGAATGAACCATGAATGAGTTGGGTACAAGTACTAAGGGCGTATTCCTATCCTCCTATCAAGAAAACCTCCTATCAAGCTCTCACTGGAAAATTCCCTAAACCCAAAATCTCTCGCTACTTTTACCAGGCAAAAGGTACAATCTTGATAGGAGGTTTCTTGATAGGAGGCCGTAGGAATACGCCCTAACCCTAAAGTGTTGTACCCCTTGTAGGCTAACCCACTATAGCCTAGAGATAGTACAAACATATAGTTCGACAGGGGCGACGCGAGGGGCCAGGGGGGGCTTATACCGGGCGACGTGGGGGCTTCTATTGGCGAACCACCTATCCATCCTCAATACATATTTCGACTGTATGTGTTGCGTCAAAACCCTTTGTTTGGGTAATCCAGTATAGCTTTTGGAACGTTTCTATATTGTGGGTCGACATTGAGACGCAGCTGAGATTTAAACTACTGTGCCAGGACGCGTTAAAAGTGACGGAATGAATATTCCAGGATTCATATTTTCCTGGGTTTAGGTTGAGAAGGTTTCATATACATTGAGCATGTTTGTAATGCTGTGGCGGGTCGATATGGCTCTCTGTGTTCGTAGACTCTGAAACATACATGTGCCGAACCTTCGAACACATGCCGAACGTCAAACCCTCCCGCAACGACTGTTTCCCATTATCGTGAACCCAATTCGTGAAAAGCACATCCGCTTGCAATTCTGACAATAGCAGAGGGTAACTTTCCAAAGCACAATTTTTTTAGATGATGGAAGGGAAGGGAGAGGCAGGGGGGGAGAGCACGAGATCGACGGAGGAGAAAGCAAGTTTAGATGGCAATGCCGGAGATAAGAATGAAGGCGAACGGGGGGAGAATGACGCAGAAAGAGAACCGAAGCGGCTGAAATTGGAGGCAGGAGCGTCGGAGGAAGCAAAAACAGCGGAAAAAGCGGCCGCGGAGACGGCAGCCGATGGCGAGAAGGGCGAAGACGAGGACGCAAACAGAGAGCGCAACCGAAAACACTACAAGAAAAAGAAGGTGGCGCTCTTTATCGCGTACTGCGGCGCGGGTTACCAGGGTATGCAGCGCAACCCTGGGGCGCGCACGATCGAGGGGGAGCTGGAGAAGGCATTGTATCGCGCGGGGGCCATACTGGAGAACGACCTGGGCGACTTCTGGAAGATCGACTGGATGCGATCCGCGCGCACCGACAAGGGCGTGAGCGCGCTCGGGCAGGTGGTGTCCGTGCGCCTCGTGCTGGACCCGCCGGGCTTCGAGGATCGAGTGAATAAGCATCTGCCGAAGCAGGCGAGTGCCCTCGCATAGTCAGTGGAGGGCATAAGCCCGAAACCCCAAACCTCGCTGTAGTGCTGCTGTTTTCCGAGATTTACCGAGATGTTTCGTAGCCCAGCACCGCCTTGCGTGGCACCTGCTTTCGACTGCGAATGCGTTTCTTTCTCCGTCCTTTACCCCATTTCTCATTCTCCCTCATTTTCTCCAAGCATCTGCCCCCTCAACCCCCACCCCTAACCCCTCCCCTGTCCCCTTCTAAAACCTCCGTCCACCTTCCCCGTGTCATCATCAGGTGCGGCTGCTGGGCTTCGTTAAAGTGACAGCAGGGTTCAATGCCAAGGACCAGTGCGACCGACGCAGGTGCGTGACAACAAATCAAGCATTTGTGGCCACTGGAATGAATGTTTTACGAGTTGGTTAAGGATGTGCGTGGCGATATCAAAGGGATTGTGAGAAGGGCCTGTGCTTCGAATAAGACATCTGCACAGCAGATATAGAAAAAAAAAAAACATGTTTCAACAGTGCGGATGATGTGCCGTGCGCAGATGAGCGACTGACCGATTTCTCATGCAGCTGACCGATTCCTCATGCAGCTGACGGATTCCTCATGCAGCTGACCGATTCCTCATGCAGCTGACCGATTCCTCATGCAGCTGACCGATTCCTCATGCAGCTGACCGATTCCTCATGCAGCTGACCGATTCCTCATGCAGCTGACCGATTCCTCATGCAGCTGATGGACCTGGCTGGCACTGCTTTGGCTGCTGGTTTGGCTGCTGCTTTGGCTGCTGGTTTGGCTGCTGGTTTGGCTGCTGGTTTGGCTGCTGGTTTGGCTGCTGATTTAGTGGGCGAGAAAAAACAGCCAGCATCATTGCAACCCACTAGCCCACAGCCACTGAGTTCCTGTGAATGACGGCTCATCTCCCTCATTCCCCTCCACCATGCCCGCACACTCTGCTCCCATTCCCCTCCCCTCCTCCATCCATACCCACTTTCCTTCCCCCCTCCTCCCCCCACTCTCCCCGTCTTCCCCCTCTGTATACCCTCGCCCGCCCGTGCAGGTACGAGTACGTGATCCCCACGTTCTGCTTCAACCCGCTGGCCCACCGCGACCGCGAGTACCTGCTGCGCATGGGGCTCATCCGCGACCCCGAGGGCGCCCACGGCGGGCACGACGGGCAGGCAGGGGGCGGGGCGGAGGGGACAGAGGTGGAGAAGAGGGCGGAGGGGAAAGAAGAGAGCGGGGCTGCAAAAGATTGTGCAGCTGGTGGAGGAAAGCAAGAGACGGGGAAGGAGGACAGGTTGATAGCTGCTGATAAGTCATCCGAGGCTGCAACCAACACAAAAGAAGCAGAGAGCAAACCAACAGACAAGCCAGAGGACAAGGCAGCAGAAGCACAAGACAAGCCCAAGGCCACCACGCTCCCTGCCCCTCTTTCCGCCGTGTTCACCCCGCCGCCCTACACGTTCGGCTCGGCAGCTCTGGAGCGACTGAACCACCTGTTATCCCTCTTCGTGGGCACGCACTGCTTCCACAACTACACAGTGAAGGTCAGCGCCAAGGACGCGGCGGCCAAGCGGTACATCGTGTCGTTTGCAGCGGAGGGCGTGACGCAGGTGGAGGGCATGGAGTGCGTCAAGTGCGTGGTGGTGGGGCAGAGCTTCATGCTGCACCAGATCCGCAAGATGGTGGGCATGGTGCTCGCCGTCATGAGGGGGCACGCGCCCGAGCAGATGCTCACCGATGCCTTCAGGAGGTGAGCGGTCCTGTGGCTTTTGCTCGCTCATTCTTGTGCTCTTGCGGCCTGGGCTGTGGGCTGGGCTTTGATGTGGGGGTGTGCGGAAGATGGCTTGCTGTGTGATGTGCTGCCCTGCTGCTCAGTGCCCCACAGCCCACAACCCCAAAGCCCAGTACCCCACATCCGCATGTCTCTCCTCCGCTGCCCTCTCCACCCCTTGCCACCCTTGCCTGGCCTGCAGGGACAAGCGGTACAACGTGCCGCTGGCGCCGGAGCTGGGGCTGTTCCTGGTGGAGTGCATGTTCCCCGCCTACAACAACAAGTGGGCCGCCTCGCACCCGGCCGTCACACTGGAGCCGTTCAAAGAGCAGGCGGAGAGGTTCAAGGAGGAGGTGGTGTACCCGCACATTGTGAGCACGGAGCGCAAGAGCCACGTGTTTGCCGCGTGGCTGTCCAACCTCAACGACCGCAACTACCCAGATTTTGTGCTCGCGAGAGCTGAGGCCAAGGGTCTGCTGGGTGGTGGTGGGCCTGGTGAGGCAGAGGGGGGAGTGGGGAGTGCAGAGGGGAGGGAGGGAGGTGGAGTAGAGAAGAAAGAGGGAGGAAAGTAGGGGGATGGGGTGTTGAAAGGGGAAAACAAGATTTGAGGGTTGTGTAGTGCCCTTTTTCGTATTTTCGCGCGCACCCGCATGTATGCAGGCATGCATGCACACTCCAGAGCCCTACCGTAACAAACCTACTTCCGGAAGTGACGCTGAATGCCGATTTCCAGTCCAAGCCTACTGTACCATACGGTGTCAGATATGGTGCCATCAACCTCATGAATGCCAACATACCGAAGGCTTCTACGATAGAATTCTTCCTTTCTCTTTACCATATGGTATATCATTCTTTCTTATTATTAGGGGCTAAAACAATCTGAGCATAGCTGACAATGGGCAAATGATCTATGTATCACATCAACATTCATAAACCATCAGGAGAGCATGGATGGAATGGAAACCAACCAAACAAACTGTAAGGATTTACAAATCCTTACTGAGGCACTCGGTAGCGAGGCCATCCCGAGGGTCATGCGACGAACCTGTTCGGCCTAATTCGTCGCACCGAACCACCCCCGAATCGGCCAACGCTCTAATCGCAACCATCACCGAGCCATCCCATCCCGAACCCCCCGCCTAGTTAGCTTTTCCCCTATTTAGGCTTCGGCACCTCCATCGCACCGTCACCCAGTAATTCTGTAGTCAACCATTCTCGTTACCATATTCGTTTTACTGCGCACTCTGCAACAGGCCTCACGTTTTCAGAGTAAATTACTCTGTTTCTCTGAAAATCAGAGTCATTTTTGAAAGTAACTCTGTACCCGCTGGGTATTTTTTTTGGGACTTCCGATTTCTCTGACCCGTTAGAGCTACGCTGTAGTCCACTCTGAGGCCCCTGGGTTTTCTTTTCGGGGACCGAATTTACTCTGTATAGGGAATACCTGCCGGCCCCCCCTCCCCGCCCCCCTCCCCTCCCCACCCCCCCCTGCGTTTAGCGGGTTTTCCCCGAATCGTCGAGATCATTCTCCTGATTTCTGTCGTGTGTTGGCGGCAATATGAGCGCTGATTGGCTACCGTAGTTTGACAACTTTCTCAACCAGCGCACGATGCCAGCCAGTCCCCTCTATCTTTATGTCTGAAGTGAACGTCGACGTTTCCCGACGAAACTTTGAGGGACGTCGAGGAATCCTGACGGTCGGAACGCTCAATCCGAGGGTTGAGATTCGCCAGCATTCCCCGACGAAACTGTACATCCGTCGACATTTCACTTCAGACACGCTCTTAGTCAGATTATCGGTGCCGCCAACACCTCACTCTGAAACGTGGGCGACGCGGAAATGAAACACAATGCAAGTACAAAAGGCGTAATAAAAACCTATTAAGGTCATGGTACACCAAACTTAACTAACATCAGAGTAGAGAAAAATATTGCTCTGACGTGCCTGGGTTTTTTTTTGAAAGTATAGGGTTACTCTGACAAATCAGGGTAAGGCGCAGGAACAACCCTAGATTTCAGAGTTGGGAAAAAAACTACTCTGGAAATAAGAGTACCTAAAATCCAAAAATAGGCCCTGCTCTGCAAGTCCATTCATAACACAAACCAAATACCAGTTACGACTCACATTCAGACTACAATATACCGGTATCAGGGCTCAAAATTGGTTTAGGCCCATCCTGACAAATCAGGGTTCAAGGCCCCCCGTGTCAGAATTATATTCTTATACCTGCATGTAGTTCTAGCTGTAGTGTAGATATCAACTTTATAGGTGGTGCACATCTTTGTTTGCTATATGTACCCTAGTGCTATAGTGAACATCATCCTCCCTTCTCTCCTTGGCACAAATCTAGCTCGACTCCCTTGGCCTAGACTACTAAGCCTAGGCCCACTTAAACCCATCTACCTACTTATGCCACTATTATGACACCCCGTACCCTGACCCTTAGGGTAAAAAAATTCGTACCCTGCTGGAAACAGCCTAACAAATTTCATACCGGTACACTAATTCTGCAAGGGTAAAAGAGCAGTTAGGCTGTTTGCATTGTATTTTTCACATGTACCGGTAAATACACACGCAGCAACGGCTGTACATAGTACGAAATCAAAGCGGAGTGCTGCAACGACTGAACTGTGCTGCGTAAGACAGCACAAAACCAAGTTAAGGCGCTACTTTTCTTGAAGTGTATCAAGTATGTGAAATGTTACGTTGTATATTGTCGACTTGAGGTAGTTCAACTTGTTCGCTGTCACCCTCCAAATGGTAAGGACGTGGTGCAGATCGGGGCGATCTGAGGCTGATTGCTTCAATCTATGCAAGGTCAGGTCGTGTGCAGATCATCAGGTACATGAGGCAGCCAACAAGCTCTGGGTACGGGCCACTCGGCTCTACGGACTCATCCGAAGGCAGAGCTGAGAGCGAGTGGCGAGTAGACAGAGGAGTGGCCTGAGGCGAGGAGTACGTGAAGTCGAAGCGCTGAAGGACCTGCTGCACCATGTGTGACTGAGTCAGGGTAATGGTGCGCTGTGCTCTGTCCCGAGTGATCTGCAAGCCAAGGTAGCTGCGCAGTTCACCCAGGTCTGTGCATGTGTGTCTCTTCTGCAGCTCGGATTTCACGTGGGCGAGTCCAGTAGTGTCAGCAGTGGCAAAGACCAAGTCGTCGACGTACACGAGGATGTAGAACGGCGGCAAAGATGTGTCGGTGCGCAGAAACAGCGATGGGTCGGCAGTAGAAGGAGCAAACCCAAGAGCCGCAAGTGTAGTCCTCAGTGTGTCGTGCCACTCACGGGGCGCCTGGCGGAGACCGTAGACTGGCCGCCGGAGGCTCCACTGGGTACCAGGAGGAAACGACCCACTGAAGCCAGGTGGGCGGCGCAGCCAGATCTCCTCGTGCAGGCTGCCCTCCAAGAAAGCTGTGCTGAAGTCAAGATAGTGAAGCTCGTAGTCGCGCTGAGCGGCTATGTGCAGCAGCACCCGAAGAGTGGTCATCTTCGGGGTGGGAGAGAAGGTCTGAAAGTAGTCAACTCCCTGCCGCTGACTGAAGCCTCGAGCCACGTAACGCGCCTTGAAGACAGGCGGAGAACCCGGCGGCCGCTTCACCCTGAAAATCCACATGCCACTGACGATGTTCGCCCCAGGTGGGGGAACCTCGTCGACGTAGGTGCCTGTGGACTTCCAGGAAGCCATCTCTGCGTCCATGGCTGACTGCCACTGTGAGGAGTAGGGACCCTCGATCGCCTCAGCGTACGATCGAGGAGTCGGGATGTCTGGTGCATCCGGGTCTCCCTCAGGGGCAATCAGCGTGGACACGAGATGAGGCAAAGCAGCAGCAAAACACTGGAACTCCTCCTGCCTGTCCTCAAGGACGTCCGTGCTAAGAGCACACTCACCCCCGACGGACGGAGGACAGACAGACTCAGACTCGGCGACAAGAATAGCAGCGTAGTCTAGACGACAGCGAGCAGCGAAGTCAACGATCTCAGCAACCAAGGCAGACGCAGCAGTGGACTCAAAAGAAGGGTCAGTGACAACAGTAGCCAGGAGACGCGTGACAGTAGGACTGGCAGCACGAAGAGAGTCAGACCCAGAATCAGCAAGAGTAGGAAGAGAGGACTCTGGAGGAGACGGCAACGGGACACGCAGAGGAGCAGTGGAAGGACGCAGAGCCATCTGGTGTGTGCCGGGGACCGCAGGAGGACGCGGACGCGGAGCACGACCACTAGTGCGAGCAGCACGAACAGGCGACGCAGGACGAGACGCAGGCTCACGTCGCTCAGCAAGACCTCCAGTAGGACCAGTGTAGAGAGAAGGAGCAGGCAGGGGGGAGGCGGGCTGTAACTGTGACCGCGACTGGACAGGCTGTGGACACGCTAAGGGAGGAGCAGGACCAGTAGAGGGCGGGAGACCAAGAACCTGCTCAAGGAGCGGAACGAAGTACGGCCGCGGCCGCGCAGCGCCTCCAGAACCAGCAGGGACAGCACAAGTACCCCCAGCGGCAGCACCAGCGCCAGCAGCACCTCCAGCTCCAACAGCGCCAACTCCAGCACCCTCAGAAGCACCAGCGCCAGCAGAACCACCAGCGCCAACACCCCCAGCAGCTCCAGCTCCAGCAGCTCCCGCAGCTCCAGCAGCACCAACTCCAGCAGGACCGTCAGCTCCAGTACCGCCAGCAGCGCCAGCAGTACCTCCAGCTGGACTCCCAGTCCCAGCAGCTCCAGAACCGCCAGGACGAGCACCTCCAGGACCAGCAGCAACAGTAGTACCTCCAGCTCCAGTAGCACGGCTCCAGCGCCGGGCAAACCACTCGCGCAGCTCTTGCGAAGAGAGTAGCTCCCGCCTCGACGAAGCACCGCCAGAGGCCACACGAGCAGACCCAGCACCCCCAGGCTCCGCACCCCCAGGCTCAGCACCCCCAGGCTCCGCACCCCCAGACTCAGCACCCCCAGGCTCAGCACCCCCAGACTCAGCACCCCCAGGCTCAGCACCCCCAGACTCAGCACCCCCAGGCGCAGCACCCCTAGACTCAGCACCCCCAGGCCCCGCACCCCCTGACCCGGCACAAGCAGGCTCAGCGCCCCTAGCAGCACCAGAGTCAACAGTAACCTCGACAGGCTCGACTGCGTCTACCTGGGACACACCTGACGGGGCAGGACCCTGAGGGGGGAGAGGGTCTACCGGGGGAGGACCTGGCGCAAGGAAGAGCGGCGGCGGGGGGAGGGGCGCAGTGCGGTAGGGGAAGAGACGGTAGTAAGGCACCGACTCGTCAAAGGTGACGTCCTGGGAGGACAGAACACGGCGCGAGGTGGGGTGGTAAAACTGCCAACCAGGCGCGTCAGGGGGGAAGCCAAGGAAGACGCAGGGAATAGCACGGGGGGACAGCTTGTCCGCAGACAAGTCGCGGACAAACGCCCGAGATCCCAGACCCGAAACGCAGACGCATCGCCAACCTTCCCCGTCCACCGCAAGGTGGGGGAGGTCTCTGGCAAGGAGACCCGGGGCTGAAGGTTGAGCTGATGCGCTGCGTACTGAACCGCAAACGGCCACAGAAAATGGGGAGCAGCCGCATGGATCATG